GAGGGGGAGGGGGAGAGAAGGGTCGGGTCGGGTCGGGTCGGCCTCTCCCCAGAGAGCAGGGACCAGGGTCGAGCCCCCTGGGAGAGCCTTCCTGAGCCCTCAACCCAGCTGCCCCTTCTCCCTCCCAGGAGACAGACAGCCTCTCCCTCCCTGAGGAGTATTTCACACCAGCTCCTTCCCCTGGGGAGCAGAGTTCAGGTGAGACCTGGAGAGGAGGAGGGGCACGGGACAGGGACCTGGAGAAGGTGGATAGGCAGCCCTGGGAGAATCTGTCTTAGGATTCAGTGGACCCCGTCGCCCTGTAAGGGCCCAGACACAGACACCCAAATTCCTAGAGCCCAGGACACTGTGTGCAGCAAACTCTCTGTCTACCCTCCCGGCTCCAGCTTGAATTCAAGGACTGTTAAGGCCACTCAAATGATCCCTAAAATTTTTTATGACAAGTTGATTTCATTTAAAAATTCATCTCTCATGTATGTGCTCTCCGCCTTCTCTTTCTTTTTTATAATTAATAAGTAATCAAATAATTAAGTAATATTTTATTTCTAGTACAGTGATTTAAAATATAAATATTCAGTCTATATGGTTTATAGCTTACCTGCTTTTCCAAAGTATGTGGGTAAGCAATAAAAAGAAACGAAAAATATTGGAAATATTATTAACAAAACAAAAAAGGAGCCTGGGACCCCTGAGACCATGTGCCAATTCATCCCTGCTTGTCCATTTCTCTGTGGCCGGTATCATAACTGTCCTGGGTTCTCTAAGCTCTCCACGAGCCCAAAACACATCAAAAAGCACTACTTTGGGGTAATGGCTGAAGTTCCATTTTCTTCTCACTGCTCCCTTCCCTCATTCCTCCTCCTGGCCCCTTTCTCTCAGTAGTTTGTTTTTTCATGCCTCAAAGCTGTAAATAATGCCTGTTCCACAGTGCATGGAACTCACAGCTTACAAATGGGTGGAGTTGCATTCATCCATTCGTAAGTCAGGTGTTTGAAACACAGACACAGGCTTCTCCAGAGAAACATGATTATAAATGATAGTTATTTGCAATGAAATATACGAGAGAGCGCTATTATTACAAGCCTACAATATTTCAAATATGCAGCTGGTTCAGCTGGTTTTTGTGAGCTGACCTAGGAAAGGAAATCTAGTTCAGTTCCCGGCACATAGTAGATACTCAGTTAAAGTTTGCTGATTGACTAAATAAATGGGGAACTGTAGACAGTGTGTGCTGCCTCCCAGTGAAGAGGCACTGTTATAGCCAGGGAGGGGCCTGAAGGTTTAGGGAGGGCAGAAGCAAGGATGGGATTGGGGGCCGAGGAGGGGGTTGAGGGACACCCCCCACCGCCAGGTACACGTGCAGGAGCTCCTCCCCGCAGCCCACCGTGGCAGCAGGGAGCCTCTCTTCCCCGGCCCAGGCTGCTCTAGCTCTGGTACCTCTGAGCTTGCCCTGCACTCACCAGCTTGGGATAGGATGAGAAGGGGAAGTCTCCCCAGCTCACAGTAACGTGCTGTGAGCTGCTGATGGCATGGGGCCATCTCTGCTCCATCTTCCCCTGCTGACAGGCTGTTAGGCCAGTATTTACATTTTGCCATTATTTATGTTGTTATGTTAATACCTATGGCCTGCAGGTAGCACAGTCTGGCTGGATGGGGGTACCCCTCCCACTGATGATCCCCATGTCCAGGTGAGTTTCTCCTGGGGGCCTCGGAGGTGGGGGGGTTTGGCCGGGGCACCAGCTGATCTGAGATGCTGCAGTGAGCACTGGAGGCTCTGAGGGCTTCTCCTGGGGTGACTCTCCAGCCACGCTGGCCTTCCTCGTGCCCTCTCAAGGCTGGCCAGCCAGTGCAGGGGCGGGGTGAGTGGTGGATCAGGGTGACCGCCTCCCTCCCCCTCCCCCTCCCCCAGACACCTGGCCTCCACTCCTGAGAAATCCCCACCCTCACTGTTCTTGGGAGTGAAAGTCCAACTTAATTTTTAATGTTTTCTAAAATGATAAAGTAAATATGTTCATTGTAGAACAATTGGGATAAACAAAAGTAAAATACGGAAAAGGAAAAAAAATCACTCTCAAACCCCAGCCCCAGATGTTAACTACTATTAAGATTTTGGAGTGTTTCCTTCTAGTCTTTCCTATGACTTTATATGTGCATTGACACATACACACATGACATATATATTTTTTCTTTTACTAAATTTGAATCCTGATGTATTTCAATATTCTTTCTTTTTTTGAGCATTTTCCCATTAACTAGACACTCCTCAGCAGTGTGGTTTTTAACAAGACTGTTCAGAGTGCATTGCATGTGTATGTTATTTATTTAGCAAATTCCTGGAACAACCAGTGTGTTGTATGGAGACTTCTGCTGTTATCGTAAGACTACAGTGACTTCCTTATAGAGAAGTTTTTGTGGCATCCCTAACGATTTCCTTAATTCTCCGCTTTTGCCCATAAAGACTTTGTTACTCAGAGCCCTCGTAAGGCTGGAGTCTTGCTTGTTTAGTCCTGTTATGCCCCACTTGCCCCCCTGGAATGAGTGTCAGGACGTCCTGAAGGTGGTGAAATGACAGGTGTTAATCAGCTTTAAATGCTTCGTGTACAGAAAGCTGTAGAGGAGCCTCCTCCCCTTCATGCCACCCCACGCCGCTGCTTTTCCCACCTTTCTTGTCCCTTCTTACCACCCGCTACCCCCGTGTGGTATCCAGTCCTGACTCCCGGCAGAAGGGCCCCGAGGATGTTGAGAGAGAGAGGGGCAGCGGGACGGGAGCTGCCAGGGCAGCCGCAGCAGAGCGCAGGGATTTAGGAACTGGGATTTCTTGGGGCTAGAAAAGTTTATGCCTCGTGGTTCCCAGGGAGGACAGCAAGTGGGCAGCCGTGGGTGGACCCGATGTGGGGAGGAGGCCAGACAGCTGCCCACCCCTTCCCGCTGACAGCCCCTTTTCCTCCACAGATGTCTGAGGACACCCTCCAGGCGCTGGTCCCTCGCTCCCCAGGACCCTCCAGCCCCAGAAGGATTTTCCTGGGTGCCACCGTGAAAGAGAGCTACTGCCCCATGGTGCCCCACACCATGTACTGCCTGCCACTGTGGCCAGGCATCAACATGGTGCTCCTGACCAAGGTACGAGCATTCCCGCCTGCCCTGGCAACGCCCTAGCCTAGATGCTCGCCCCACGGCTGCCCCTGTCTGCCCTGCCCCGCTCTCCTAACCTTAGAGCCCCAGTACGGCCCTGGCCCTGGCCCTGTACCAGCTGCTGGATGGGTTTTCTCTACTGGAGAAGAAGCTGAAGGAGGGGCAGGAGGCCGGGAGCGCCCTGCGGTCCCACCCCCTCATGGGGGACCTACGCCAGAGGATGGACAAGTTTGTCAAGAATCGAGGTGGGCAAGAGCTTCAGGTGAGACGCAAGGCCTGGACACCCCACTTTAGGGAGAGGGGGCAGGGCCCATTCTGTCCACACCAGGTGAGGGGCCCAGGCTCTGGGCCCTGCCCCACCCCACCATGGGCTTGTGGTCCTTGTTTTCCCCCATTAGGAAACAGAAACAGAAACTTACAGCAGTGGCACTTGACATTTCCAAAACGTTCTTGTGTGACGAGTTATAGCTCCCATTTTTCAGATGAGGAAACCCGGGCTCAGATAGATGGTGAATTTGCCAAAGTTACTGGACTGGTGAGCAGTGGAGCCAGAGCCCAACTCGAGGGCTTAGCGACAGCCAGCGGTCTGCCCGCCACACCCCTCACCACCTGGCTGGTCTCAGACATCCAGGACACAGGGAGGCCGCTGCACCCACAGGGGGCGTAGAACCCAGGTTGGGAGATGAGGCCAAGACCCTGGGACAGTGCGCACGCAGAGCAGGAAACGGGGCACAGCCCAGGCCGGAGCCTGGGGGTGGGGGGAGCTCTCAAGGGTAGAACACTGGGCTGAGATCTGAGGCCACTTGTGTAGCTGGCAGGGCTCAAGGAACTGAGATTCGTTGTGCACGGAGTTTGCACTGGTCTGAAAATGAGCAGAGGGATTAGAAGAGGCAGAGCAGCCACCTGAAGCCCAGACGCAAATTACCAGTCAGTCCGCAGTGCTCAGCGTCTCTCCGTGCCCAGCGCACTCCAGTGAGCACGTGTTAGGATGCAAAGCTCCCCTGAGGGGGGTCAGCACCCCAGCTCTTGCCTGCGTCTGCCCCTCCCTTGAGGCGCCTACCTGTCACTCTGGCATCATTGGTTTACGGTTATCTGCCAGCGAGACAGTGAGCCCGGTACTTGGCACACAGAAACTGCTCTTTAAATAAATGCCTGCTGAATGAGTAGACTGGTGTACAGTGGGGTGCAGGGTGCTGGGGGACCTGCCAGAGACCTAGCTTGGCTGTGGATGGCAGGTGTGTGCTGGGCCTAAATAAGCCATGGAGGCAGGGGGCCTTTTGGAGCCTTTCAGAGCACAATGTGGGGTGTCCCTTGGACCTCGCTGTGGGAATGTTGTCAGGAAGCTGCCTGTCACCTGTCCTCCTTACAGAGCACCTGGCTGGAGTTCAAGACCAAGGCCTTCTCCAGAAGTGAGCCCGGATCATCCTGGCAGTGAGTGGTGGGCTCTGAGGTCAAGGGGGGAGTCGTTTGGACAGAAGAGCAAGTTTCCTCCAGGCCCAGAGGGAGAGGATGCTCAGGAAGGCGCTTCTGAGGGCAGAGGGGGTCCTGGGAGGGCGGGTCCAGCCCACGGATGCTGAGGGGAGGCTGGGAGCAGAGAGGACAGAGATTGAGGAGCAGGGCCTGAGGGCCCGACACGGCCAGCAGAGGCCCGGCTCCAGCACGGACTCAGTGTGACCTCGGGCAAGTCACTGCCCCTTGTTTCTCCATAAAATAAACCATGAGGTTGGATGAGATTCTAAGTGCTCAGAGCACACGCTGGGGGAAAACTGGGAAGCTGCCTCCTGGCTCAGTGAGGGCCAGGGGGCATCAGCTGTGCTGTACGTCAGTCCAGGAGGAGGGTGATCACAGGGGATGGGGTACCGTCCTGGGCGTGCCCTCCTAGGGCCTTTCCGGCTGTGACATCTCACCTCTCTGTGCCCAGGCTGCTCCAGGCATGCGGGAGGCTGAAGAGGCAGCTTTGCGCCATCTACCGGCTCAGCTTCCTGACCACGGCTCCGGGCCGTGGAGGCCCCTCCCTGCCCCAGCACCTGCAGGACCAGGTCCAGACGCTAATGCAGTAAGTGTCTAATGCAGTAAGTGTCAGTGTGGCCCCTCGGTGGCCAGGGCAGGAGCTGGGGCGCACCTGACCCCAGCCCTGTTCCCCCTGCTTCCTCGGCAGAGAAAAGCTGGCAGACTGGAAGGACTTCCTGTTGGTGAAGAGCAGGAGGAATGTCACCATGGTGTCATATCCTGATAGCTGGCCCTGAGGAGGCCTTTCAGGACTACCTGCCTCCTCCACCCACTCACTTGAAGGGCTGCGGCTTTGGGGAGAAAGAGCATATATTTCACCACCTCAGCTTCCTTTCTCTGAAGAAAAATGATAGGAGGTAGTGTCCCAGGGGCCTTGTCTGTAGGAACACTCCACAGATGGAATTTCAGAAATTCCTGCTCTCCCACGGTTACTTCTGAGAGCCCTGGGGATCGTTTATGTCGGTGTTGTCCAGCCAGCTAAGTGGCAGTGGGTCTCCCACGAGGGGCAGGGGCCTGGGGTTGGGTAGGTTTGAGCGGCCACGTCCTCCTTCTTAGAGGTCACAGTACACAGTGGCACGTGAAGGCTCTGAGAAGGCCTGCAATAAATGTGTTTTTTTGTCCCCATTTAAAAAGCCACCTCCAAGACTTACCCTTTTATTACAGAGCTAATTTTACCAAATACTGATTTTCCCTGGAACTTTATATGAAGCAGCTTTTTCTGTATTAAAATCTCTAAAGGGTGTGGCCTCCTGTCTCTGGAGACTTCTGTCTTCAGTGCGCAGGTGAGAAGGCCTTGCTAGCCACCAGCCACTGCCCTTCCTCTCAGATGGGAACGTTCCAGCCTCTGGAGATGAAGTGTAGAGGTGAACAGGATCACGGTGAGGCGGGTGGGTGGGCGGCCAGCTAGCCTCACTCTTTAGCTCTATGGCTCTGCTCTCATACCAGCCGCAGCATGTGTATCATTTAAACTCATCCCGCATGAAAATGGTAAAACACGAACATACCATGTTCCTGTTGGGACCAGAACTCCCTGCATTAAATGTGCCAGAGCCAAGGATCCGTTGTACTTGCATCTTAGACCTTCTCAGGGTTGGGGGTTCGACGGTAAAGAGAGACCTGGGAAAGGGGGATCCTGGGGGCGGGTGGCAGGCCTCGCTGGAAGCCTAGATCGAGGACAGAGGAGCTCCCTCCCTGGTTCTGGCTTAACAAGCACCTTAACTCAGACCCTCACCTACCTGGAAGACTTCCCCGGCCTGGTGCATTTCATCTACGTGGACCGTACCACCGGCCAGATGGTGGCCCCTTCCCTCAGCAGCACTGAAAGGACTTCATCGGAGCTGGGCAGGGGGCCCCTGGCCACCTTCGTCAGAACCAAGGTAACCTGGCCTGGCCTGGGCCCTCTCCTCACGCATCAGATGGGGCGTGCTGACCCCTGCCCAGAGGACTAGCCCCCGCCCTCGGGCTCCCGGGAGGCTCTGAGCACTCCCGCCAGAACCCTTCGCGGCACTCTTCCTGGTGTCTGCACCCAGCTCTTCAGGCTTCTAAGAATAGTTGCCCATCTTCATCACCCCAGGATGCCGGTCGGCACTCAGGGCCATCTTCCCGCGTGTGTCAATGTGCCTGGAGCAGCAGAGTCTGGGCAGCGAGTTCAGGGGAGGAAATGGCCAGGGCCTAACTCAGTGCCTGGCATAAATAAGTGCCCGATAAGTGTTGGCTGAGTTCACTAAAACAGAAAGAAGACACACGGGTTAATCAACTTGAGTATCAGAATGTAAAATTAGGTGGTTTCTACAAAGAAAACAGTCTCCAGGGGTCCTTTTCTTTGATTCATCTTCATAGCAAACTAGTATTTTTGGTGGGGAGAACAGAGGACCTCTGCCACTTTCTAAAAAACTATACATTTTCATATACATTGTGTATACAAATCAGGTGTATCATAATGGTTAAAACAAGATCCTGACAAAAGGCCCGTTGGAGACCCAGCTCTGCCCCTCACTAGCTGTGTAGCCTGGGGTATTATGAAGTCTAAGTTTCAGTTTTCTTATCTGTAAAAGAGGATAGTAACTCTAGTGACATCATAGAATTGCTGCAGAGATTACAAGTGTATGAGATGATGCATGTAATATACTTAACACAGCATGTGGCACAGAACGCAGCTGGAGTTGGTCGAGCATTTCCTGGTACCATCCTTCCCGGCATCTTCATCTCCTGGAGATAGTTGGGGTTATCTTGGTACATTTCTTTTTGTTGTTTTTCTGTGCGGTTTGTTATAGTTGAGATCATTCTGTGTAAGCAGTGTGTTTACCACATTTTCACTTCACTTTATATCTGGTGCATTTCCTCATGTCATTAATTCTTTATCAACGTGATTATCATCAGCTCCACAATAGCCCATCATGTGAACATAACGTCATGTACTTAGTTGAACGTTTAGATTGTTCCCAGCCTCTTGCGGTTGTAAGTAATTCTGCGGCACATGCCTCTGGGCATACATCCTTGTCCTCGTCTCTGATTATTTTCTCAATATGGAATCCCAGAAATGGAATTACAAAGGCAAACGGAAGGAGTGTTATTAAGGTTATTGATACATGTTGTCGAATTGCTTTCCTGAAAAACAGAGCAAACCTGTGTATTTGTTTGCAGATTTCATTAGACATTGTGTTGTGGGCAGGTTTGGAGTAGCTCCTGTATGCCTGCCACTAAGCTTTTTCTAAGCTCTTTGGTGAGAGCGCAGCAGGCCTTTCCAGGCCCTGGGAGGTGGGGGAGCAGAGCTGCCCCTGCTGCCAGCTTCCCTAGGGCAGTTCACAGACAGCATCAGAAGTCCTTGAATTAGGAGAATCTCACGGAGGGGATCTGAGGCACGTTGTCCCCCGGTCACTGTGTTCCCGTCGGTGCCCTTGGTGAGCCCTCGTTCAGATGTCGCCCTGGAGCAGAGGACGTTCCTGGACCAGGGCACTCTGTGCGTTCAAACACTTTTCCAGCAACTTTCTGGCATAGAGCCTGTGCCAGACATCCTCAGTGCTGAGGGGCCCAGGTGAGTGGCTGGCCCTCGACAGCAGGAGGGTTCCAGGGGGCCACCCCCTCATCTTCTCTTAAGCCCCTGGCTCTGTTCTGTCCTGAAAGATGAATCTACTCTTTATGGCTTGTGTGTATAGTAAAGGTACATAAAGTGTTTATACGTATATTTTGTCGTTGCAGTAACTGGAAGGGTGGGTAGTCCATCCATGCATCCATCCATCATCCATTTATTATTAAGCTCCTGCTTTGAGCTAAGGCTGGGCCCAGACACTAAGGAAGAAGATGAGCAGGAAGGAGCTCCTCCTCTGAGTGCTTTTCTCCCCTCGGGATTTGAGAGCCTGAGCCCAGCCCCCGCCGTGGGGAGAGGGCCGCCCCACAGGCTGCAGAGATGAGCACTGTCTCCTCTCCCCAGGTCTGGTCTCTGATCCAGCTGGCGCGCAGATACCTGCAGAAGGGCTACACCACGCTGCTGTCCCGCGAGGGGGACTTCTACTGCTCCTATTTCCTGTGGTTCGAGAACGAGATGGTGGGTGTGGCCAGCCCGGGGCAGGGCAGTCCTGAAATGCTTTCTTTCCCTGTGACTCTTGGATCCTTTTCTCCTGGATTCTGTTCAGTCTGTGTCTCCAGCTCTTCTTGTCTCTGGCGGAACTGACAGCTAAGCCCAGCTGGTTGGCACCCAGAACTCAGGTCCCATTTGTGCTCAGGCCCCTCCACCCCATTCTCTGAAAATCTCATGCCGTTGATCAAGGCAGCATCCAGGTGACATGTGAACAGACGTGCGCCCCGCATGAGCAAGGCCGCTCAGCCCGAGCTTCCTCAGTGGTTCTTCAGTGTCACCAGCTGCACTTACAGAGCCCGGCTCCCTGTTCCCATTGTAGAGGCTGATAAACCAAAGCTCAGAGCAGTTAACCAACCTGCCCAGGGCAAAGCTAGCAGGAAGGCTCAGATCTCTTGCGTCCGGCCATGTTGGCCAAACCTCACCGTTGCTGCAGTATGAGCACAGGTCACGGGAGTTTATTACCTATGTCCTCCCACCGCCTCTCGCTGTTGCTCTCTCTCACTGTCCCGCTCTGTGTCTCCCCTCTTTCCTCTGCTTTCGTTTCCTTTTTCTCTTTTTGTTTCCTGCTCACTTGTCACCCTTGGCCATCATTCCAGCTCTCTGAGGGCCATTGCTTCTCCCTCCCACATTCCCTTGGCCCCCCCCCGTCCTGTTCTCTCCCCTGCTCGTGCCCTGCCCTCTCTCTGTCCCTGTCAGCGAGCCCTCCTTCCCCCCTTCCTGCACGGCGCAGTGCAGCCGTCGGGGTCTCTCACTCTGTTCTCACGGCCTCACATCCGCACAGCCCATGTGATGGGCGGGGCGGGTGTTGCTGACCCCATTTTGCAGATGGAGACACCGACGCCCTGAGATCAGACACCATGGCCAGGGCCACCGAGGTCCTAGGTGATGATGTCAGAACCCAGGCTCGGCTCTCCTGATCTGCAGTCTCCCATCTTTGCTCTGTGCCCGCTTCAGAAGCGCCCAGGATGTGGGTGTGACCATCACCTTAGCTTCTAGGTAGGGACAAGTGTGTGTGTGTGTGTGTGTGTGTGTGTTGTGTGTGTGTGTGTGGTGTGTGTGTGTGGGGTGTGTGTGTGGTGTGTGTGTGTGTGTGGTGTGTGTGTGTGGTGTGTGTGTGTGGTGTGTGTGTGTGTGTGGTTAGCCCCACAGGGCAGTAGGCTGTGGTGCGGGGAGACCCAGGTGTGAAGTCTGGCTGCGCCTGGGCTCCTTCTCCCCCGCGGGGCCAGGCCAGGTGAGCACAGCACCGCAGGAGCCCCATGAGGGCGCCTGGCGCACAGTGGGAGCCCAACAGAGCTTGAGTCCCTTCCCCACCATGTCCTACCCTGGGAATACCTGTTGCTTTCAGAGAGAGACTTGGCCTTTGGTAACGCTTTGTTCTTCATGACACGTCCCCGGGTCGTCCTCCCTCACGTGTACCTGTCGCTCACCCAGGTCCACTGGTTGACGGGAATGAGAGTTACCAGGTGCCGGGCACGACG